CATTAAAAGGGAACTGTTTCAATGAATTACTCCTAGATTACTCAACGTCGGATGATTAGCATTGTTTTCCAAACTAGCGATGTTTCTACTCCCGTCAAAGTCGTTCTCCGAAATTTTGACGGAACACCGATTGCAACATCGAGAGAAGAGCAAGATGCTGTTGGCTTTCAAATCATTCCAGTACTGCTGCTTGGACACACAGCTGATGTGTCAAAGGGCATTTCATCTGAAACAATGAAGGACGGAAAGAGTAATGATACAGTAAGTTGGAGTTAGGTGATGCCGAAATTCGATTTATTATAATGAAACGAATTATGAAGTATTCGGAAATATTTTCTGTAATTCCATTTCACAAATTAAACCACTTGACTCCAATTTGATCAAAAGTAATCTTTGAAAGATACGATTTGAATAGAGTGTATAGGTTTTAAGGTGTCATTTTCTGAAGAAAAGAAAAGATTACTTTGGAAGAATTTTATTTTGAAAGAGACTGGGATTTTAATTGACAAATCTTTTTTACCTAAACCTCTATGTCAGCGAAATGGAAGGCTTGAATTCCTTTTAAGAGCCAAGTTGATTTCGTCTGAAAGTGGAAGAATGACGCACTAGGAATCTATCAGTTCCGAAAGACGGCGTCACTGCCAACTTTTGACCCATAAAACCATTAGATTGAGAGTTGCTTAAATTTTAAAATAAAGGCGGAATCTCGTAGAGTTTGGTAATATTTCTTTTGAAAATCTGGACTTCTCCCACCCGTGATAAAGACTATTGAGACACTATTTTAATTAAATTAGTTATTTCATTACAGTCCCATCAGGATTTGAATATGTTATTTATTTATTTATTTCAAATGGATCATAATGAAGTTTCAATATTTATTTATTTATTTCAAATGGCCGGCGTTTTGATAGTTATCATTAGCCCTTTAGCTGACTTCATTGATAGTTATCATTAGCCCTTTAGCTGACTTCGGGCTTCGTAGACGATAGTTATCATTAGCCCTTTAGCTGACTTCGGGCTTCACTATAGTTATCATTAGCCCTTTAGCTGACTTCGGGCTTTACAAAGAGGAGGAGGAACATCAAAGTGATAAAAAGTCGAGAGTGTTTTAAAGATGTAAAATAGACAGACACAAAGGTAGATGAAAGGTGAGGGTAGTACTGTGGAAGTGGTCGAATTTGACTTACAGTGGGGTCATGGTAGTTTGATGACAGAAGTCAACTGCCGGTTAATAGACCTTTTTTGTCGTATGAGTATACGTTGCCCAGGGTGCACAGCGTGGAGGTAAGTCTACCGCATACCCCGGATTTGAATATATAAATGTAGTCATTATGTATAGCCATCATGTGAGTAAGCGACGACTTCCCGACAACTGAGATGAGGAGAAGGAAGTAATGGACTAAGACTGACTACTAACGGTATTCATTAATGCCACCACAAATTGACCGACCGGAGAAAATGTTATCGATCGTTTATCATCAATGACCTAAATACGGCCGTTTATGATCGGTTAGAAAACGAACAAATCGATTGATGGTGCTTGAATAGATCATTCCGAAATGGGTCTTTTTACGTTGGGAAATTATTTTTCTATAATTTGACACAACTACTACATCTTCTATTCCCTCCCAAACATTGTTTGCCTTCCTTTCAGGAGGAAATAGTATTATATTCCAAGAAAATCAGCAAAGAAATAAATGCAATATTCACGAAATATCACGAGGAAACTAACATACGAATGCATATGGATCTGTAGAGGATTGCTACGATACTAAAGCCTGATTGACTCAGAAATCTCTGTGGCAGATCCACCTACATCTAGCTAGATTCCCAGAACCAGCTAAGCTATAGCCCAGCTATCAAGAAATCAAGTCTCTATGGCAGATTCTCCAACATCTAGCTAGACTCCCGAGAAATCTCTGGCAGATTCTCCTACATCTAGCTAGACTCCCGAACTAGCTAAGCTATAGCCCAGCTATAAAGAAAACAGACGTATAATTCAGCTAAGCTATAGCCCAGCTATCAAGGAAACAGACGTGTGGCAAGGAGCACGTTTATTCAGATAGTACATTACGGATAAAGTGTACACGTAGGGGGCCTAATCATGATCAGGATGGCTGATTAGGTTAAACAGAGGTTGATGATTGGTCACTGTTTGTACGGCCGCACCTCCCAATCCTGGCGAGCAGACATGCAGGCATACGATGACGCACAGAGCGATAACGTGTCTCACAGATCTATGCATGAAACTAAATATACATATGTGCCCAACTTTACTGCTACACCTATTTAGGTTTGGGATAGTTTTATATTGGGTCAATGATAGTAGCTAATCTAAACCAATGAGAATAAAGAACAGTCACATGACGGATAGAAATTATCCCATTCATGAATTGCAATCTCCGCATTCAAAATGGTGAAATTGTTAAAGGAAAACCATGTTTCTTACTTTTAACCGTAAATGCTTAAATTAATTACGTAATGTTTTGCACTTTATAGGAGACCTCAAAGGTGGCTCACAAATCGGATTGGCAGTATTTACTTGAAGGTTATGTTAAAACGGAGGAATTGAAATTTACGGATAACGAACAAGGATTGATTGAGAAAATTCGAGAGCAGAGGAAATATGAGTTAAGTGGTGAGTACTTATTTGAAGTACCGATGATGGTTGATTCACTTCTTGTCTTAAAAAATAGGTGATTTTTTCTCAATGAGTTTAGATGCAAAGATATATAGACAATGTGATTTACATTTTAAGCCGTAGCCAAAAATTTCTAAAAATCGATTTGATACCTATTTGCAGAAGCTTTAACCTTACGTTTCGGAGGGCTGTTTAAA